ACACACACTGAAGGGAGAAACTTTAAATTTGACGAAATTATTAGTATTATAGGGCGAGCAAAACCGCATGGGTGAACCTGCGCCTTATTTTAAAAAAGGCAACCGAATTAGCCTTTGGTTGCACGTGACGTTTTTGGCCTCTCGTTATAGCTTGAGTATCAGGCGTTTCTGGATGAGAAGGGGGAAGATAGGAGCGAAAAAGAGAGAGAGAGCTAAAATCTCCTCTCCAGTAGCCCATAAGGATGGCCTGATACTCAGGCTACCCTCGTTATAGGTTTAAAAGTAGAATAGTAATATTAAATCATTATATTTTTCTGTTTCATCAGTGAAGTGCTTCGTTAAGGCCCGAATACAAAAATATATTTCCAAAAGAACATTGCATAGAAAATCAAAACCAGATTTGATGAGCGCTATTAATATCATTAAGAATAATAACTGATTAGAGTCGTGTGTTAATAGAGCAGTGTACTTTTTTTCAAATTATCAACTTTATTTATTGAGTGGTTTTTTTTGTTAGTATTATCAATTGTTCCTTATTTTTATCCTCTTTTGTATGGCCGCTGGCTAAGTTGATTTGTGTGAGAACCTTTAATGTTATCCTCAGTTGAAATGCAAATAGAATTTTTCTCTTTCTTATCAAAAATGTTGTTGTCGTAATTATTTGCTGGTGTCTTTTCAATCTTATTTTCCATCTTTAACCTTTTCTACCTAGGGGTGCCTACCTTTTACAAAAACCAAAAAACTTTTCAAAAATCTTGAAAATATAAATATGACTATTAACTTTCACATAAAAAAGAACGATCTGCTGAAATCATAGTTATTAGAGGAGACTGGTTATGAAAAGCGGCAAACATCAATGATAAAAACAACAGTGCTGCAGTTTATGTTCAAAGCACCGTGAAAGTGCACAATCCTTTGTTTTCTGTTGGCAAATCGTTACGGAATAAATTAATGCAACGTTTTTATTGGTCAATACAATCAAAATGATAGGAATTCTTTTGAACGTTGTGCACTTTCAGGTCCACAAAAACATATAACAAAGGAGTCTGACGGGTTTCATAACCATTCCACTCAATTAACTATGCTGAAATGTAAAAGAGTTCTCTGCAAATTTGAATCACCTCACAATGGTTTATAATCTGAGGATTCCCAAGCGGAATGGCGCGAACCAATTGATTTTCGGCTTACCCATGTATAAATAAAGTATTTACCCCAGACGACCCCAGAAATTATCTACGCTCAATCTGTTCGTTGCCATTGCCCTTACAAGTGAAAAACCGCATTACATTATTTCCCTTCTCTGATATTTTGAAGCCAGCGCATGGCTATTTTTTTTAGGGGATATCTTTCTGACTTTTTTGGACTTAACCTTCCCCAGGCAAATACCTTTTCTAGTTTTTGAACGAGTCCCTACGAAAACGAAAAATCGAGTCTCGTTTTGGGCCATACGTTTTAGAGAAAAATCGAGTCTCGTTTTGGGCCCTACGTTTTAGAGAAAAATCGAGTCTCGTTTTGGGCGCCACGTTTTAGTTTAACGTGTCTCGTTTTTGAAACGAGTCATCGAGACAGGTGGGAACGAGTCTCGATTTCACGTTTTCGGTTGGACTGGCGAATACGTAATCGAGAGGCCTTAAAATCGAGACGATTTTTATCGAGTAATTTACGACACGTTGCCCAGAAACGGTGAATGATCCGCTAAACTTCACTCTAAAACGATATCACATTTACAAAAACAATATAGTATAACATGTTTTTCTTTGACATGAAGTTTAAACTTGAAATAGCAGTTTTTGGATAGTATTAAAGAATACGCATAGACAAAACGACGACTTTTAATGTCCTACCATACAAGTCTTTTATGTGAAAAACATCTTTAGATCATTTATAGCCTTGAACAGCGGCTATTAGTTAGTACATTTCGACAAAGAAAAATAGTTAAACGCGGCTTAACACAAACATCAATACACTGACTCAATATTGGTCATAAAGTCAAACTTCAAAAACTTACTCACCAAGCAATTGCCGAACTTTTGAATTCATTACACATTTCCATTCACCCGCAGCAAATAACAACGTAGAGGTATCGCTGGGGCACGAGCAGTGCCACTGGTCATTGCTTTCGCTTTTGGCGTTGAAGTTCTCGCAATTCATAGAGTGGTCTCCAGGTTCTCCACAAATAACAGTATAAGGAATCAAAAATCTATCTGTGCTCCTTTCCCATCCGTCTGATGCATTTGGCATTGTTCTAAAAATCTTTGAAATGGCTGAAGTCGCGATGGCAACCATGTAAATCAAAATTAATAGCGTACACTCAATCCTAAGTATATCCATTTGTTGTGAAAGTTTTATATCATAAAGGGGTCATCTGAAATGATACCAGTGCGTGCTTGCTTTACTTTCAAACGTAAACGTGGTAGCAGGCTGCAGCATTATGAAGATCGTGTCAGTTTCAGGAAATTCAACAACGTCAAACGTTATGTAAAGTTACGCATATTACCGTTACGGTGCGGTTCAATTGGTATCCTAACATTTTGATTTTCCTTCTTTGGTATATCATTAGGAAGGGGAAAAGGTGTGTTGAGTACGCAAATACTTAAAAAAAAACCGCCACGAGCTGTGTGGACTAGTGGATACAATTAGGATCATTAATGATTCTGTCATGAAGGAAAGAATGTTTAAAATGCCTTGGTGTCCTTATTGATTCAAAATTATCTTAGACGCATCATATCACATATATTTCTATCAAAATCAGCAAATCATTAGGTATCCTTGCCGGACTGGGGCATTTTGTCCCTTGTTCCACTTTATTAAACATATATTGTTCTCTTGTACAACCTTACTTGTCCTATGGTATAGCCGTCTGGGGCCAAGCTGCTCCTACAAATTTGGAGAAAATTTTGATTCTTCAAAAACGTGCCCTTCGATTGATTCATTTCAAACCCTTTAGGTTCCACGCTGTACCTCTGTTCAATTCTTCCTCTTAATTTTCTCTGTTTTAAGACAATCTGCATTATTATGCACGATGTATCCAATAAGGTAACACCTCCAAACGTTTCCAACTTATCTGCCTATTCTTCAAAAGTACATCATCATAATACACGATTTTCTGCGGCTGGCAATTTCTATAACTTTTTTCTTTTCCTTCCCGCCTCGATTAGCTATAGGCTACTTTGCGGGTAAGGATTAATTGTGGTTTGTATCAAAAGTGTTTTTAACAAACTTGAACTTAAACTTGAACTTGAACTTAAACTTGAATAGCTGAATTGATTACCCTTTGTGGAACTCTTTTTATCAATTTAACCTTCCTTTAGGCTTAGTCAAAGAGGACGTGGGTAAAAGATAATGGTCACTTTATAGTATAGGAAATGTACTGAAAGACAGGGGCTATTTGCACGATGACGTCATCTGACTTCGACAACCACAATCCTTTTGTTTTCTTATGTAAATTATGGCTGGTTCACACCAGCGAGGCAAACGGAAGCGCAAACACCAGTTCAAGAAAATATCGTGTGGACAACTTCAAAGCAAATTCAAACGCAAAAGGCACCGACGCAAAATCGTTGGCGCATGCTTTGCATTTGTCCTTACCTTTGCCTTTGACAGGTGGCAACAGAGACAAAGCAGACGCTTTAAAAAAGCTGAAATGCGCGTATCTCCCTGTTCTTGCTTTTGCGTTGAACGTGTGTGCACCGGTTTTGCTTTGTGCATGTGTTTCAGTTTGCGTCGCTTCTGTAAGCCAGCCTTTAGGGCCTTTAATTTAATAGCGATGGTGGGATATCTGGATTAAAATAAGAGAGGAAAACTTTCCCCGTCGTTTTTCCTAACCCAACTGACCGTCCCTGGATCTCCGAGGATGTAAACGAAGCTATCGTGGATTTGTCTGTTGATACCGTGAAGTAATAGGTCCTTTCGCAGTCTTCGAAGAATTCAATAAAGAATTAAAGTTCAAGCCACAGACAAAACCTCACACTGAATAAGTTTCAAGTAGTTCCGTTTTAGTATGTATCAGTCATTGACCTTTCCTCGAGGAAAATGATAGATAAAAAGCTCTAAACAGGCCTTGATAGATTAATATGGTTATGGTCTTGCAGCTAAGATCAGAATTAGATCCTACAGTTTAGGTAGCTTTTTGTCCATATATTAGACATAATTGCAGCTGCTAATAACCATATTTTGCAAATGCTTTAAAATCTAGAATGCATGTTTGTCTCTCCTGGGATATTTTCTTACAAATGTCGCTCAATCTCTTTACTCGATAATTTCGCCAGGTTCATTCGAGACAGGAAAAAGTTCATCTTGATTTGGTTTTTTGGCTGTATCTTAGGGCCTGTTTACATGGAGTGGGGGACCCCGGTCTAGTGGGGTTGGTTTCTTTTGTTTTCACGCTCTGAGGGACACAAAACAAAAGAAACTTACCCCACTAGACCGGGGTCCCCCACTCCATGTAAACAGGGTCTTAGACGATGATCGGATACACTAGCAGCACAAACGAACAGCATCCTTGCCGCTGACATGTAGTTGACAGACAAACCTTTCATCCCATTAAGGGAATCAAAGACAGTCTAGGATTCTGGTTTCCGCGCCGTGTATTCCGGATTCCAAATTAAGCCCATGATTCGGGATTCCTGGGGCGAGGGGTTGATGCGAACTTTGCAGTCCGCCGCTGAATTTTTGCGCAAAGTCAGTAAGCGTTCCTCTGTGAATTCATAACCGGTCCTTATAGTAAAGGACTCATTCTGTTTGATAGATTAGTAATGGTTCAGCCACGGTACCGACCCTGGCTCGAGATCAAGGTCAACTTCAAGTTCATGTTCAAGTTCAAGTTTATTTATTCACACTTATTCAGTTACAATACAACAACAATGAGAAAAAAAAAAGATGTAAAAACAGAGCTAACTGTACATTGAAGGAGAAAAGTGTGTAGAAGCCAAACAAAGGAGCCAAGCTTTCGAGTTGGCTACTACCACAGAGTGGTTACAAGTGCATGGAGGTTATACCCACTATTGCTCAATCCTACTCAAAGTCCTAAGAATACTACGGACATTATCCTTCGTAACAAAATCATCGTCCGCTGTATCGTTGTGATAGAGAGTATCTTTCGTATTGTTATAATCTAGTTCATTTGTTAGTTCAGAATCCTTATGCGACCTCGTTTTGCAAACTTGAGATGACTGACGGGAAACATTTTTATAAACAGGACCATCCTCGCAAATGGCACCATCAGGATCAGGACCCTCTGACCTATCATCAGAAGGGTCCTCTAAGACATTGTACACTGTGTCGGCCTCTTCCTTTTCGGAGAATTCGTAATTCTCATATATAACTCCTCTGTCAGAAACATGTTCCTCTAGTACATTATACGTTGGCTCCTCGGTTTCTCCAAGTCCATAAATGTGTTGATCTTCTGGAATGTTCAACTGTGCGTAGTGATCTTCCTTGGTGGTTGCTGCGCATTGCTGGATATCCTGTCTTTGGTAAGGGGCATATATTGCTGAAAAGATTCAAAATGAAGCATATCAAATGAACTGCTTGAAGTAAAGGAATAATTTTGTTGCCTTATCAATGTTTTTTGTCTTATAATCAGACGGAAGTTGAAGGGGTTATGCCGTTCAGAAATGGGCCTGATGTGACAACACCACTGTTTTTCCAAGCTATCATCAAGAGACGATTTATGGCAAAACAGCAATTTAGCCCTTGATGTACTACTAATCGCAGCTTAGTGGATCCTGACTTTTTAAAGCTCATTTTAATTTGTAACTGAATTAAGACTGATCTGTCTAAGAAGACAGAGGACGCATGAAGACTTGAGAGGACCTGTTTTGTTGAAGTGCCGACACGCCAGCAGGCTCCACTTATGAAACACCTGTCCGTATTTAACACTGGTATCATGTATGTATTCTTTACTACAAAGAAAAACCCTCGGCACCTTCAGGGTATCCACCGGACTTCCAGACGGTGCAAAGAATGTACTTAAATGTCAGCAAGTGACTACACACCATCTTCTGAAATCGGCCGCGGATTTTGGCTCACTTAGTGAACAAATTTTATAGTACATGCACAGAAAATGCCACTTGGCCATGATTTTAAATGATGCAGGGTACCAAAATGAAAAATTATGTACAATTCAGGCCTAAAGACCTTTCTTGATACGCACTCCTGAAAGCTATCACGCGTGAGGAAGTTTTCGTCTGCCAGGCCTGATCGGACTTCCCTAATAACTAGTGGTCACCTAGTGGTCTATTATCAATGCTGCGTTCTGATTGGTTGAGTTATTACTAGGCTATATGTTATAGCCCACTGGTAGCGAAAAGCGCCGGCTTTGAAAACCAAAACAGTGGCAACTGAATCGCGTTCTGCTACCTAAAGTTGTTTTGTCTCGATATTTTTGACCAACTAGTTGGATTTTACTAAAACAATTATTCCTTTCGCCCTCATGGCCTTTGAGTCAATAGCCCATTCGGGCTCGAGGAATAATTGTTAAGCATCCTTACTTAAGTTTGAGAGACGTTAGCCCGAGAGACAGGTCTACCATCATGGGAATACGGCCTTCCATGCCCACCGAGGGAGATTGAAATAAACACGTTGGATTAGAGACCTCCCTAAACCCTCGTACATGCAGTAAAGTATGGACACTTACGCGCTTCTTGGAAGCTGAGTTCTCTGTACAGCTCTTGGTCGTCTGACTGATATGCGCGGTTTATTTGAGGACTTGAAACAACGGAAACCTAAAAAATAAAACCCAAAGATAATTGATAATTTCAGTATCTTCATCTACCACTTTTATTTTCCTTTTATTTTGGTACCAAAATCAATTCCCCACAAAATTGCCTCCGACGACTTTACCGCTTTTCTCATTCAAACCTTTTCCTGAAGGCCAAAAAAATGCACCATTTTTGTCTCTAGTAGTGATTTTCAGATTTAGCTTAGAAAATGACAATTAATAGACTGGCTTTTTTATTTTTCCCCAGAATAACTGGGCCTCACACATGGTGTGAACTACAAGAAATATACTCCTTCAGGCTCCAGTTGTTCAAAAGGTGGGTAACACTATCCACTGGATAAATCACTATCGAGTGGATAAAGAAATTGGTCTTCGTACTACTGATCCGTTCGAAAGTGATTCATCGGGTGGATAGCTAACGCTATCCAACTTTTGAACAACCAGGATTAGTGGACTAAACAAGCTAAACTACCGCCACATTCCGCCCCAGCCTGTATGTTTGAGGCACCACTTACCCTATTTGTGTTTACATCATCTGTATATACAGTAGTTGCACTTGGCATTTTCCTGCGGACACAACAGTACGGAAATATATTCAGAAAAATCTCGCAGCTCTAGTTCATGACAACATTGTGTCTGGTATAGAAAGGATGGTACAAATGCAAATAAAACTGTCCATTTACTATTTTGGTTTCACGAAAGATCGGCAAATGCGTGAAGTGCACTTTATAAGAAGTATTATATCCCATTCATGGAGAATGCACACTTTAACAATCGTGATTATTTCACCCCAAGTAAGGATTCTACGCTGTGGATTTCGGATTTCGGATTCCAGGTACTGGATTCCTGTATTTGTCAGTCGAACTTGGATTCTGGGTTCCAATCGTTAGTGGGATTCCGGATTCATTGAGCTGTACTCCAGATTCCAAAACACAGGATTCCCGATTCCACAAGCAAAAATTTCTCCGATTCCGGAATCCGGATTCCCATACATGGGGCGGATTATTCCATGCAGATGTTTACTTACTTAAGCTTCCGCCGGCAGCAAATCAGACAGCTAATGGTGACTACAATGAATAAAAGTGAAGCTGACGCTATTATACCAGCCTTGACACTGGGTAATAACGCAGTGCTGTCGTCACTGCGTCCTTCACTATCCAATTTAGGCCGTGGAGAAACCTGGTAACAAAAGGTGACAAGAAAACGTCATTTAGCAGTACTGATATCGTCAGGCAAGTCGTTGTGATCTAGGTGCCTAGTTAACTAGTGATTCATGGGGCACTAAGAAACAAATCCGTAGAATGTCATTATTCTATATTTCCCCCTTTTAATTGTTTTATTTCTATTTTTCCTATCCTTAAAACGACTAACTCTTTGTATCAAAAACAGCTGGACGCTGAATGAATCATCGGTCATCACGTATCCACTCCATAAAGATTAACGAGAGGGTGTACGAATCGTGTTACCAAAAAAACTGGCTTTAGAAAATAAAGGACCTGTTTCAAGTAAGCTCGAAAAAGCATGGCGAAATTCTTAGTAGCCAACTTGGACATGCCAAATTCCTTTCGCTACACACATTCGATGTGTAGCAAACAAAACTGACAGCCGAAGTATTCTTTGAAATTGATAATGTTATTATTGATGCAAATCTTATAAAGGACTCACTTCAGAGGCAGGTGTATTTGGTAGGGAGGGGACGACAGCTGTTTGGATAACAAAGGTGGAAGACGGAGTTGCGGAAACGGTTGATAAGGCTCCAGTTTCAGTCGCTGGGATATCGACCATTGTTGACTGAGTAGTGACTGTCGATGTTGACCTGATTTCACTCGGAATAGTGGTGACAGTGAAGATCGGCAAAGAGAGCATAGAGTCAGTTTTGATTGATTTTGTAGCAGTTGTTGTGTGCCGCGTCGTATGTGGTAATGAAGGTGAGTGCAAGGCTTGTTTTCCGAAAAACCCCTGTTGTGACGAGAGTGACAAAGGACCTAGAGAAGTAAAGGCAAAACAATACTTACACTGCTACACAATGTCTAATAACTAAGGAAGAACAACTTAGCTAATAGCAACAACAACGAGCTTTATTTGCATGACTATAACCAATACAGCATTGCAAAAACTATCGAGAACTAAGTATCGATTCCTCAATTAATTTTTAAAATAACTTAAAATAAACTAACAAATAAAATATGTTAAATCCTTGCTTATTTTGAACTATTCATGCACAAAAGCATCGTCACACATCTCCAGTCAACACCAACAAGCCTGCAAGTCATTTTTTGTCAACTGAATCTTAGTAGATTGTATTAGTGTATCATGATTAGATCAAATCTATCATGCAGCTATATCATTCGAAAGATACATGTTTGATTTTGTCCTGTGTTATTATTATAAAATAAGGAAAATGAATAGAACTTACAGGTAACATTCCCCACGTATTTGAACAACAAGTATCGTGTATACTGACGATTTAAAGACTTCGCCTGGCCATTGTCGCATCTTATTGTTAGCCTGGTGATTCTTCCTATGAAATCCGCTGTACTTGTTCTGTTGTTATAAACCTGTAAGTACAAAACAAATATTGTTATATGCTACATTACATGGAGTTTTAAGTAATTTTCCCCCGTTCCGTTCCAGTGAAACTGGTTGTCAAACAGTTTTAATTTGTGGACTTTCCTCAATTTTAGTCTTTTTTACCACGTGCCCGGTCACCTGACCACAAGTCTACCTTAGGAAATAGGAAGATCTCAAAATGTTCGTACAGAAAAAAAAGAAATTCCCGTTCTTGGGTAACTTTACAAAAACACCACCTATCGTATTTTCGAACATACGATTGACTAAGTCTTGAGCCAGTTAAGGCGTTTAAGATAGCACTTTAACACCAGGCCTCAACGGCCAGAATAACCCTGCCCCTCACCCAACCTCCATTTTTTGTTTAACAGAAGTTCCATATAGAAAAACAAAGATACTCATACCTTAAGAAAATACTGAATACCACCATCTGCGTCAGAACGTCCTTTACTAATTATTGCAAATTGATTGCTCCTGAATGAAACTTTCACGCCATCGCATCCAAAATATGACGAAGCCGCGTTATCTACTTCACAGTTTTCCATCTGATGTGAAGACAATATCTTTAGTCTTTTTTCGTCACCGCCGTCTAAGATAACCAGTTGATCAGGAGTTGTTTGGTTCTCGAGGTAAAAGTATGTGTGGTTTAGGTCAGAATACCCTATAAAACATAAAAACAATTAGTGTAAACATAAACTAAAACTAAACGAAGAAAAATGCACTGCCATTGGTACTTTTTCGCAAAACTAAATCACAGAAGATACAATGTTCATAGGGATGAAACTAGGCATTTCAAATTAACTGTACAGTCCCAATGTAAAGATGTATAAGGGGTCATGATCAGAAGGACTGAAAAGGAACGGTCTTTTTTTTCTCGAAATCTTTTTCTATCGTGTATTTCGTAAAAAGTTGTATTTTACACGAAATTGTTAGATCAAAAAAGTTGAACAGAATCTAACAAAAAAGAAATATTCCTTAACAACATGCATTCACGTATAGACCCTAGAGGTTTCATAAGTTTTTTGACCATTCCCACGCATCTATTTGGATTTCCAGTCATGTCTATAAAATTCAGATGTCACCAAAAATGCATTTTGAACATATGAATTATACAATCGTGATCATTGTCATGTCTCTTGTGAGGAACATTGATGTCAGTAAGACGCGTGAATATAAGAAACCGTTTTGGGTAGTAACGTGATCGATCGAATACGGATATATTCAACTGTTCTTTACAGACAATGGATGCTCAATTAAACCATTACAATGTATAACTTAAAATAGTTTCTGCTTTGCGGGACGCCACGTAGAGCACGCAACAAAATATCCTTCTGAGTAAGTGGTGATATTGGAATCACCAAACAAGTGACTTTATCCGTTTCATCATAGTTCATGCCAACGAATAAAAGAAAAGTAAACTTGCAACTTAGTCAACTTTGCGCATCAAAACGTTTTACCTTTATAAAATTAGGTTATCTTTTTCATTCTTAAGTGAAAATGAATCAAACAATTTTGCAATCAGCGTACTGAGATTCTGGGAAAATGCCCACAAACTCTTCCCCTAACCCATTGCTAACTGAACAACTTCTTACTCTTGACTGTATGCTGGGTTTCCCAGAATCTTACGGTGCCAATTTTGGTGGTTCCGGTTAGGATAATCGTCAATCTGTTGCAACAACTGATATCACTTCTGCCGGTCCTGCGTTGAATGTAAAGGGAACCAACACTTAAATATTTGCGGTATGGTAAAATCGAGGTTACAAAAGCTTAGAGAGTATCAAGAGTTTAGGAGAGCTTAGGGCGACCGCGTGGTGGCTGTAGTCGCAGTAACCTCCTATGAAGCCTACTTTAGGCCGGTACAATCGCTTAAAAAATCCACCAATTTTCTTTACTTTCTAAAGTGATTTTAATAACAAGTCTTATACAAAGAAAAATATCAAAAAATAACGTCATTAACCGATATTGTAGTGATATTAGAAAAAGATAAGAGTAATTGTTTCGATTGCTGACTAAAGCAAAGCAGGGCGAAGCACCTTTGCTGAATGCATAAGCGTCTGTATCAGTGCAGTGCTTGCATTTCACGAAGTTTTACTAGTCTTTAAATGATGGCCAATTGAGCTTTGTGTTTTCCTTGTTTCAGCATTTGACACTGCACTAGGTGGTCTAAACTGTTGACTCTTTGACGTAACTTCTAGGAAGTTGAAGCAAGCAGCAATTAAAAGCTATGGATATACAGTACGAAATTTGATGTTTTATTGCATATTTCAAATATCTCCTGCAGCGTGGAAGTGTTTAACGAGGTATTGGAAAGCAAAACAGCTAAATTTTAGAAATGAAACATTAATTTAAACTGAGCTCTTTTGTTTCCGTTTTAAAACCATTTACGCAGATTGAGCCCTTATTTATAAATGAAAGCGTTGTTTTCTTGTCCCGCTGCACATGTTGGTAGCCATGAAAGAAAACAAACACTCGTACTCACCAAGCAACACACGAAGAGCAGAGTTCTTTAGACATGTCCATTGACCATCAGTGAATATAAAAGTATTGTTGTCGCTAGGACATGAACAATAGCACTTCTCGGAATTATAACTTACTGGTCTGGCATTGAATTTTTTACAGTTTACCGCGTCACTTGCATTCAGTTGACACAAAGAGAAAGGAATCTTGAATGAATCGGTTGCCCCTTCTGATCCACTGACGCCTTCTGACTTTCTTCTGTAAATCTTGAAAACCTCTGATGCTTTGACAACAGCCAACAAAATTGAAATCACGGTAAGTCCAATTTTCATTTTCTTCATTTTCTAATCTCTTGTTTGCTGAAATAGTGGAACCCTAAGGAAAGATTTGAGGGTAAATTTGTTTCCACTTTAGCTGTCCTCTCCTTTGTTGTTTAAGTTGTATACGAGAATAAAATATAAGTTATAATTGCTTTTTCAATTGTGATAGGAAGCGTGTTTAAGCAGTGGTCTCGGTTTGATTTCACGCTCCATAAATTCCTCTTGAACGTTTACGTTAAACATTACGTTTGTTTCCTGTATGTTGTTTCTCGACTATATGAGCGTCCTGCATGTATAATAGGAGCTTGAGGAACAACGACGGCGACGGCGACGGCGACGGCTACAAAAACGTCACTTAAGCCCTGTGCAAACGGACGCAACATTGTTGGCCAACAACTCCCAGCGTTGGTTGGATGTTACATGTTGCGTCCGTTTGCACACACTGTTGCATGTTGTTGGATGTTGTTGCGTGTTGTTGCGCAAAGTTTGAAACCGGTCAAACTTTTCAGCCAACAACTCATTCCCAACATTTCTTTTGTTCCGTTATCGACGAAGCGTAACGCAACAATGTTGGATCCGTTTGCACAGCTCTCCCAACATTGTTGGGGCCGCGCACGCTCATTACGCATGGTTTTCAAAGACCTATGGGTTGTATCCTTCCCACGATGCACCGCAGGTCCCGACATTGTTGGGAATTGTTACATCCGTTGCACACCACTGCCAACACGCACGGAACAACTCCCAACATTGTTGGCGCAACAATGTTCAACAATGTTGGGAGTTGTTGCGTCCGTTTGCACGCAGCCTTAAAAACTGAATTCGCGCTGCTTCAAACTTTATCGCGTTTATTCCATCTCGTTTACTTCGTCAAATGTTGGCAAATGCTTTTGAGGTTGAATTCTAAAGGACTGTATCAAAGTTCAGGAAAAGAAAAAGAAAGATGATTTTTCAGGGGCAACACCACTCAAGCTTGAGCATTCACTGCCTTTAACAAAGATGTAGGAAAAATCAACCAAAGCAGTGCTTCATACAAGCATAAAAATTTAATGAGATCAGTGATTTATTTACTGACATTGAAGTGGACAAAGCATCGTAGTGTAGTCATTACTTATTTTACTTGTAGTCGTTTTGCTAGATGCTGCGAAGAAGTTTTCTCCGCCTTCGTTCAGGGCAGCTTGTTCCCGAAATAGCTGCCTCTATACTCGCAAATTGAGTTTAAGCAAAAAAAAAAAAAAAAAAGAACTGCGAGAGCTTTTGCCCAAAAAATTCCATCCTGATGGCGTAAGGTTGTCCTATCTGGTTAATAAGCGCTGATTGGACGACGTTTCAGCTATTTCATTCTTTTACCAGTTGTTAACACAAATTAATGACAGGCTAAAGACAAGAGGTCACAAAGATCAAATGTAGACGCCACTGATAAGCTTGCTTTCAGCGCATGCGGGAACCAAGGAAGAGATATGAAGAACATGCACTTCAATGTGACATGTGCAGAAAAAAAATTTTTAAAAAAAATCAGATGATGCACGTCAAGGAAGTCAGCAAAACTGGTATTTTACTTGATTAATTCAAGCAATGCATTTCATTGACCAAAGAAACGTCACGTTCTTATTAGTAAAAGCACGTTTCATGAGGTTTGTAAATACCGAAGGTTTCAAACTTATATTATCATAAATGCGTACTTAAAAAGAAAATTCGTTGAACTTAGCCTTGTCTAAAATGTTGAATGGTAATTTTTTTCCACAGTTTCAGTCCTGCTACTAATTATCCTTTATAAATCGCCCTAGGTTTTAAGATTAACCACGGCTCATCAAGCAACTGGTTGTTTGAAGATGTTAAGACACGGCCCACGTTAACTAGAAAAACAGTTGAATAGGCAGTTGAAAACTCAAAAATGAGGCGTTTTGTTATGAGTTTTATTTGCATGAGAATGAAAAATGATTTCCATATCAAAGGTTGAGCACCTACCCTCGTTTTGAAACAGAGGCCCGGAGGAACTCGGAAATGGCCTATTAAAATGACGTTTATATTAAGAAGCATTACTCAAGAAATCCAGGTAATAAGGGCATAACGAAGATGGACATGGTTTATTTAAAATTCTATTTATTTGATATTTCGGTATTTATCCATTTATAATAGGAAGCAATATACAACAACATGAATACGAAACATGAGATATTTCGTTGTCTTTCAATTAACGTTTCAAAAATATTCTTCACCTGACGTTCCTTTTCGTATCGCTTATTTTTGTACGCTACCACAAAAAATATCTTGCAATGGCATCGCAAAACTTGCATGACGCTTATTCGCATTACATTTGTTACTTTATTGTTTTACAGGCATTTTTGCGTTATTCTTCTTTTTCGAAGCTTTCTTGAGTGATTGTTCGGTTGACATATATTATATTACATACATCATTTAAAACATATTTACAGAAAAATCGCATTGTACAACTAGTAACATTATTGAACTTAGTCTTTGCTCTAAACTTATTGTTGTTTCCCAGGGAAACTATGAAAAAGCGCATTTTATAAATAGTCTACTCTTCTTTTCCGCGTAGTTTTTGTATTTCTTATTGCAAGCAATTATTGAGGCCCTGTGTAAAGCTGTGGCACGTCTTCATTATCTAAATTTTTCACAAGTGCCTGTTCCCTGCAGATGAGGGACCTCTATGAAGAACATTGTAAAGCTGGTCTTGCTGATCGCCGACACCATGTCGATCAACAGATTCAGCACCATCCGATAGTGGCTTCCTCAACACGTCATACACGGAATCTTGCGTTTCACCTTGATAATTACCTGGATTAATGTCCTCGATTAGGCTATAAACACTTTGCTCCAGGCTAAGAGGGGTTGTAGAAATAGTTTTATCAGGGCCACAGTCAGGCTTATCATCGGTGTGTTTCGTACGTAAGGGCTCAACAAAGTTGTATTCGCGTTGCTCAAAAGCTCCCAGAGGTGTTTTGTTCTGGTACT